TATATATTTATATTAGAATTTTTTTTTATTTGTTCAGAAGTTTTTATTTTGTTGGTAGTGCTTTTGAAGTCTCTTATGCTCACCAAGGCTGCATTTTTTTTTTAATCAAAAACTGTAATATTGTGGAAAATTGTAACAAGTTCAAATATCTGTTTTATATTTTAATGTAAAAAAATTATATTTTATTATGTTTTTTATTTCTGTGGCAAAGCAAAATTTTCAGTATCATTACTCCAGTCTTCTATCTCTATATATATATATATATACTTAATAATCTAATATTTTTGTGGAAATTGTGATTTTTTTCAATCATTCTTTTATGAATAGAAAATTCTAAAGAACAGCATTTATTTGATATAGGATATATCTTTTCTAACTTTATAATGTCTTTTAAAAACGGACCCCAACCTTTTTAATAATGTATGTAAATGAATCATTACATTTTGCATATTAACACATGCAATTAAAAAGATGTTTGTAAGGTTCTTTCTCCAGGCTTTGTGGATGTCCTTGGTGTTAGTGGTCCCATCTTACAGTAGTGTTCGCTCTCTCTCGCCCTCTGCAGGCACTGTGTGGGTAAATATACTGAGGGGACCACTGGAGGTATTAGGTGGGGCGGTCACTGGTGTGGCCTTAGGGTACTTTCTACGATACTTCCCCAGCAGAGACCAGGTACGTGAGCTACAACTGTATGATTGAGAAGTACATGTTCAGATTCAAAAATTGGTGTTGTTAGGGTAACAATTTTCATGGTTGTTGGTTGTTTGTGTCTTCTACCTACCACACAGGGAAACCTTGTGCTGAAGCGTTCCTTCCTGGTGTTGGGGCTGGCCGTGTTTGCTTTGTTTGGCAGCAGTGTGGCTGGGATTCCTGGTGCAGGAGGACTCTGTACGCTAGTGCTGACATTTGTGGCTGCAATAGGCTGGGGGAAAGCTAAGGTCTAAATCTCTTCTTCCAAACATAACAGGGATGTGAAAGACTAGTCCACTAAATGTTGACATAATTTTTGTTTTGCTTTATATTTTTACAAAGACTACATGAAGAGTTCAGATGCAAAAGCCTCTAAGTGCCATTTAAAATTGTATTCTAAAACGAGCATTTTTCCCAGGTTCCTGTGTTTACGTTCAGTTATTTCACTCTAATGGCAATGAAAAAAACCCATTCATTACCATTAAAGTAAAATTACTGAAACTTCACATAGGAACCTGAGAAAAATGCTCATTTTAAATGACAATTTCAAATGGCACTTAGAGGCTTTTGCATCTGCACTCTTCACATATTAGACTTACATTTTTAAATCAATGTATGATTTTGAAAAGACTTGCATTGTACTGACAATGTGTGATTTTGAAGAGAGCATATCAAAATTATTTAAAGTACATGCATTCTTTTTCTCTGTGTCACTAATAGATTTTCTCCCCATCTTCTCAGATCACACATTTCATTTCAGTGTGTATGTGTGTTTAGGCTCCAGTGGAAGCGGTGGTGGAGAAGTTTTGGCATGTGTTCCAGCCTCTTCTCTTTGGTCTCATCGGTGCTGAGGTTATCATTACTTCTTTGGAGGTCACGACTGTGTGTGAGTGTTACACTCTCAAGTTGTTACACTGTAAATTCTACAAAACTGGTAGAAAAAAGAGCTGGAAAAAACTGATTGGGAAAGTGATTGGGATGTCAGCAGTGTGCATTTTTTT